CTTTCCGCCCAGGGCTTCCAGGAGCTACAGGAGGGTCAGGGGCCGTGAGCTGCCGCCCACCCACAGGGATGCCAGGCCCTGCCATTCCGGGCCTGGGGACGCCACGGGGCAGCAGGGCTTGAGGGTCACCTTACCCGGGGCTTCACCAGCAGCTTCCCCATGACGGTGAACATGGTGCAGAGGCCGAAGGGGGTGCACACTGTGATGGGGGGAAATGCTGAGCCGGGGTGCCCGTCCCCAGCACCGTCCCCACAATGGATCCAGCCCTGCCAAGACCCCCCCAGGCCCAGAAGCATTTGCAGGGAACAAGCCGCCACCTGCGGTGGTCCCCTTTCCCTCCTGGGTGCTCCTGCGGTGACGCTGCGCCCTGGGGTGACGCTGCGCCCTGGGGACACGGGGTGGCCAGGGTGACCGCGAGGCGCCGAAGCCACGGCACTTACGCAGCAGGAGCAGCAGGCCCAGCAGCGAGAGGCAGGAGTAGAGGTAGGGCAGGTAGCACTGCCAGAGGGCTGCGGGGAGGCAGGGTGAGCTCACAGGTGCCGAGCGGGCTGCAGAGCCCCTGGCCCTGCGGCAGCACCCACCGTGCAGCGACTCGCGGCTGGCCGCGTCCCGGTCCACCAGGGCCAAGGCCACCCACACCATGCCCAGCACGAGCAGTGTCAGCAGCAGCAGCACCACCGATGTCTCGTACACCCGGGCCATGATGCCCTGCGGGACAGCGGGGTTAGTGGGTGGCAGGGCACAGGCAGGGGGCCGAGCAGGGGGTGGCTGTGGCTGCGCTACCTTCTTGGAGCCTGCAAAGCCCTCCGACTCAGTGAAGAAGTAGGCAAAGGGCATGAGGAAGACGAGGGACAGGTTCGAGAAGAGGAAGACTAAGTTCCAGAGGCCTAGAGGGAGGAGAGGGCGCAGGGTGAGAGCGGGCAGGGCCATGGGGCACCCACTGCCACCCCGGCACCCACCGTGGACGAGAGAGCCGTTGAGCCACTGCATGTAGTAGCTGCGGGGGAAGCAGAGCAGCACCTCGTTGCTGATGATGGAGAAGGGCAGCAGGAGCACGGCGCCCAGCGACACGGCCAGCGTGAAGGTGCACAGAGCCAGCCTGCGCGCGGGACAGCACGGGCTCAGCCACAGCCAGGAGGGGAGGAGGCCAAGTGTCACCGCGGCTGCGGGATGGGCAGGGACTTACGCGATCCTGTTGACAGCAGCATCCTCATCATCATGAACTGCAGGACACGGAAAGCAACCCCAGAGGGGAAACAAAACCCGCGTTAGGGCCAGCTGAGCCCAGGTGCCCTGGCCCCTTGGGATCATCCCTTCATGGCCCTCTCCACATGCGCACTCGGAAGGCACGGGCAGGGCCAGGCCTCTCCTGCGCTGCTGGGGTAGCTGAGGCTCAGGGCTGCCAAACACAGACTTTGGGCTCTGCTCCCCATCCTGCCAGGGAGCTGCCGCGCAGCAACGAGGGCCCCGCAGTGACCGATGCTGCAGCAACACGACGCAGCCCAGGGCTCCCGCGGGAGGCGGAAACCATGTCTGGTGCCCGGGGACACAAACCCTGGGAGGGAGCAGCACGGGGGTGCAAACAGCTCCTACCTTCAGCAAAGTCCGTGTGCTTTTTGAAGTGGGTTATGACAAAGTGGCAGAGGAGGTAGAGGCTGATGAAGAGCAGGGTGCAGATCTGCAGGGCAGAGGGACTGGTGAGCCAGGACCCGCAGCCGCGGTGCCCGGCGCTCCCAGCCACGCACCATCTCCACACTATTTTTTTCCCCACTCCTGTCCTGGGTTATTTGCTCCCTGCAGCCCTGTCCGCACAGGGACGGCTGCCCCGCTCCCACTCACCCACTGGGTGCTCTCAGAGGCTGCTGCTGCAGCCCCGCACCAGCAGCTGCTCCCTGCTCTGCATGTCCCAGCGCTGCCCTGGCCCCCGCACACTGACGCCGGCAGAGCCATGGGAACAACCTTGAGCTGGGCACCAAGGCTGCCCCAGCGTCCCAGCTGCAGGCGTCACCAGAGGAACACGGTGACCTTTCCTCCCTCCGCACACGCAGACAGTGACAGAGAAAGATCCAAACCCGCTGCCTTGGCACAGAACCACCACGGCACCTCCCTGCCCAGGGGACTCAAGGCAGGGTGGGATGCAGCTCGTGGGCACCCTGGGGTGGCAGCCTGGCCGGCGGGTGCTCCCCAGCCAACACAGCGCTTATGCAACAGCGGGGCTGGAGGATGAGGCAGCGGGAAACAACGTGGCCAGGGAGGCTGAAAGGTCACGCGAGCTCCACGCTGGCGGTGCCGACCCAGGGTGGCCCCAGGAGGGATACGGCTGCTGGGACAGAGCCGGGCGCAGCTCCTGGCTGAGGTGCCAGGCTCTGGCCACTGCTCCTCCCAATGGGCACCAAAGTGGGCTGCTGAGCTCATGGCTGGGCCACCTTACCCTGCCCATTGCTGCCCTCTGAGCCATCCCATGGCACAACCTGTCCCCAAGTGCTACATCCGGGGATGATCTCAAGGATAGGGTTAGGGACCAGGATGCCTGGGCCCTCAGCATCTCTGGGCTCTGCTGCATTAGGTGCCCAGGCTGCCAGCGGAGGGTAGAGCAGCAAGGGCAGCTGTGTGCCCCACTGTGCCCAGGAGACACCAGGTCTAGGCCCTTGGCAAGGCCCTTCCAGCTGCCAAGGGCATGAAGGGGCTGACACGGACTCTGCTTCTACAGCCACCCAGGGTCCTCTCACCGGGGGTACCAGGACACCCCCTCCCCGCGCAGCAGGAGGGCTCAGGGTGGCCAAAGGGGCCCCCGGAGGCCCTGCTCCAACCCCTCACCAGTTTGCCTGCTCACCACCCATCGCAGCCAGCCCGCGGACAGCGCTATCGGCGAGGGGCAGGCCCGGCTGGGCA